CCCATAAAAGAGTTGTCCAAGCATTTAAGGCCGCTGTACATACAAGCCCACATCGATGAACGACCAATTAGATAAGTTTTGGTTGACAATGGGGTAGTGGTCAACATCCTCCCTTCAAGGATGCTAAAGGTCTTGAATAAAGGGGAAAAGGACCTACTTTACATTGACATCACAGTTAGTAATTTTGCAAGAGAGTCACTTCTGCAAGAAGAATCCTGCCTGTATAACTTGAGTAGGCAATGGGAATACCATGACAACATTCTTCATGGTAGATTGCTCTTCTAATTTCAATGCTCTTCTAAGAAGAGATTAGATACATTCTAATGGCTATGTGTCATCATCCCTACATCAAGCACTGATATTCCTATCAAAAAATTATAATGAAGGGAGAAAAGGGATGGAGGTGCATTGGACAGATGTCAATCCTTTCTATGCAGATGCACATAATGTGGATGCCCATTTTATTACAGGGATCTAACTTCAGTAGGGCAAAGCAATGGTATAAGTGAATCTGATAAGGGTCTTGAGAAAATTTTACACCAAATTTGTCATGCTTTGGCAAGATTTGGGTTTTTTTGTAGGCCAAATTAGGAGATGGAGAGTCCACATAAGATTATCAACGAGACCTACAAAAGATCTTGAAATGGCAAATGACTGTCGTGGAAGTCCTGATGGGAGAAATATCTAGGATATGCATGGAGGAAAAGTGAAGGCACTGGTTGTTGTCTCAGTTGACTAGACTAAATATGTTATGCATGGGTTCAGTAAGCAAAAGCTAGAGGAAGATTGGCAAAAGAGGGATGGTCAACCTTTCGTTTAGACACCATCAAGGACAACCAAGGATGCAAAGACAAAGCAGAGAAAAATCGTCAAAGGTAAAGATGATAGTGAGAGTTTGAAGGAACAATGCAATTAGCCAAGAACCTCTAAATAGTCATCCAGGGGTTAAGCAGTTACGAACCGTTCATTTTCCTGAGTTACCACTTGATTAAATGAAGAAGGGTGAAATGAACAGCTCAGCCATCAAAACCCTTCAAATGTCTAAAAAGAACAACAATCATGATTGTTCATTCATTTGGTTTAGTAAAGAAAAAACCCAACTAAATGAGGGAGTCATTATTTAGGCCTAAAATACAAAATTACAAGAATAATCGATGTATTGACATCTGGTTAGTCTGAATGTGTTGAGAAGATGCCACATGGCAGAATGTGAAGAAAGGCGGAAGATGATCAGTCACAACCTTTTTTGAAAAAGAGAAATAACTACTTGGGAATTACCATCCAAATAACGTTGATGGAGGCAGAACTGTCGAACGTTGTGACTATAAAAGGCAGACAATGGAGAAGTTAAAGGATACATTCAAATCCCTACAAGACCCACAATCTGGACATTTTTAGGAGTAGTTTTAGATGAATTTTAGGAAGTAGTTATTTTTGTAATCAAGGATATTAATTCAATCTTCTTTGTAACCAAAATACTTTCAATTGAATTAATAAATGAAATATATTTTATTAGTTCTCAGTATTATGCGATTATCCCCTTAAAATTCTTTCAAGAAAGTCCTGAAATAAGACAATTAAACCAATCATAAACAATCGCTTGAAAGCTATATGTCGATTAAGTTTCCTTCATTGATAACAATAGATTTTGGTGCAACAATCTTTTGGCACGCCAGGTAAGACATCATTCTTAACTTGGATCACCCACAGAAGTGGTAATTTTTTTTGTACCAAAGAAAAGTAGTAAAAAATAGTTATCAAAATAGTGTTAAAAACACCCACAATAATGATAAAAATACCTATAAAAGTGATAAACTTTTTTGTTGTAAAATAATTCACAAAAGTTATAAAAACACTCGTTAAAATGGTAAAAGTTGAAAGTACAATAATAAATTTTTTTCTTCGGTACAATAATCAAGTTCAGAGTTTAACAATCTTATGGTATGTTTTGAGATTAAATGATGATACCATATGATGATACCAAGAGAAAATATGCAGCTTGTATACCTTGAATAAGCCAGCATGCTTGGAAGAAATTCAGACCACTTGATTGAGGCTCAGTCGACACTGATTAAGACTCAGTTAACCTGACTTACAAAGATCCAAGGCACAAACAGGTCAGCAATCACCATAAAAGAATAAAAGGGCATACTCACTACCAAATCCAATTTTGGGCAATAAGACAACTTCTGGAATGTCACCTCATTATTTTTAAAAGGCCACATCACGTCTAAGGGAGAGAGCCTCTAAAGACAATATTCTCTCAAATATTTTGAGACTACGAATACTACAACATAATTGTTGTAAGGACCACACCACCCACGTGTGTAGACAGGCAAGCCATAGTCTTGTCATACCATAGATAATTAATTACTTTAAGCGTAACCTTCTTCTCTCCCTCGAGTAATACAAACCTAACTTTCCCAGCTTACTCTTCTCTGTTTTTCACACCATCACCATAAATATCGATGGTATGGTTGTATCATAGTTATATCAAATGGTCATTGTTGAATCTCCTACTCATTGTTTATAACAAAGGTGGATATCCAAATCTCTATCTTTTTTCTTAGGATTTTTCAATATTGTTTATACTTCTAGTAACATGATTAAAAACAAAAGAAAAAAAAAATTGGAAAAATTATTTAGTAATGTTTTTCATTTTTTCTTTTTAATAAACATGTATTGTGACTTTTTGAAACAAATGATAATTTATTTTAGGGAAAACTTCACTCACACCCCCTATAGAATACCTTATCTTCAAACATTCCCCTTGTATTACCAAAAATTTTACTGACATCCCTATAAGAGTTTGTCGACTGACGGATGTAACATAACTTTTTATTTGACTATGTTAACCTTGACAATCTCACATATTATCTATTTAATATTTAATACATTTATATAATAAATATATTATACAATATACAATATTTTAGTATATAATATATTATTATACACTTTCTTTATAATAACAATTTATTATATATATATATATATATTCTAGAGTTATGATTTTTTAAATTGTCATACTAAGGCCTCTTCCAATCACATCTGTCATGTATCTTTTATAATCACTTCTCAACTCCTTACTAACTACTCACTATTTTTTTAATTTATTTATATAGATTTTTTTATCAAATAATTTATTATTATTATTTTATCTATCTTTTCTTTTAAAAAAATAACAAAATAGCAAAAACTATACATGTGCATCACAGGACGCTAGTACAAAATATATTAACGTATAATATATGTACAACCCCAACCTTTTGCATAGTCTATCATTCCTACCACTAAGCGTAGCGCAAATCCTTATGCATAGTCTATCTTCATTGCATTAGACCCACCCCACCAGCTATCACCAAACCATCACCCAGTTTCATTATCCCTCATTGTCAATTGTTCTAAACTCTCAGCTTACCTGCCTGTTGGCATAGTGAGAGAGAAGAGCGAGAGAAGAAATAAATAGAGATTTTGATTGTAAATATGCAGACAAATTGATTGCCAAGGATGCAAAGAATTTGGGGGCTAATGAACAATTCCCTATCTCGCTCTATGTATATTTTTGTGTGATGTTTATATAAATAATTGGTTACAATTTTGCTTAATTAGTTTTTCACAATTGAATTGATTTCACAGTGATAATTGTAATTTGGGTACAATTAGGGGTTTCATATTTTTTGTGTAGACATGAGGTGGTGGACTAGTCATGGGTATTGGTCATTGTTTGATGGTAGAGTGTGTGTACTGTGTGTATATGTGTGTGAGAATTAATGTAGGTAACGATGGTTAGTGACAATGTTTGGGATGTAAAAGGTTTGTGTCAGAGAGGAAGAAGATGCTAATGAATGTAATTGAAATGGAGTCTTGGAAGTGGGATGGGTTTAGGAGACGATCTATCGCAAGGGGTTGTTGGAAAATGCTATGGAGTGAGTTCAGGCTTTGGGTGGAAGAAGACTTTTAGTAAGATAGATCGAAAGCTATCTAGGAGAGGGAGAGTTGTGGGTTACGCAAGCAGGTTATTGGATCTTGAAGGAGGGGTAAAATGGGTATTTTGTAAAGAATTCTGCTTGACATCATCTACCTTTTTGTTTCCCATTAACATCTATTGACGGTGGGATTTGAATAAAATAAACATATTAACTATAAGGGAGTGTAGTAAAATTTTCGACAATACAGAGGTGTTTTCAAAATAGGATATTTTACAAGGGGTGTGAATGGGGGGCTGATGACTCAATTCCAGAGAATTATTGAAGGCCCAAACATGCCTCTATCAGTTAGGAAACAGGTTCTCGTAGATCAAGGAGGAGTAACAATAGCTGCACTCGAAGGAGGAGTAGGAGTAGGAGTAGTTGATGTAGAGTATTAGTCTGCTATGACTTCTTTCTTGTATCTCCTCTTTAAGTATAAAAAAAAAAAAAATGAAGTTTTTCCTATTATTTTATTATTCAATCAACAAAAAAACACAGAAGACACCACCCAATGACTTGTACAAGAGGAGTCCAAGTGTACCGTGATGTGCACCTGCCGGCCTCCTGATTCCGTGAACTTGCGCGGTGGCCATGGGCTTGCAATTTCAATGTGACGATAAACAAGGACAGCCGGTTCTCCTTTCTTCTATAAATGTTTGAACTAATCGATGCGATATTTTGAAAATAGATGTTATTAGAATCTAATTTATTAATTTAATTTATTATGATCTTAAAATTGATTGTAGTTTCCATCAAATATTAAAATTTAGTATTGATCTAATGATTCCAGTAAAAATTGTGTGCCTCACAAGCTACTTTTGTGACGGTCTCTCATTAGATATACACACTATATGAAACAGCAGTATGCTAAACCCACTAAAACTTCTCTTCTTTCGATTCAAAGCTATCAATAATTTCTGATTGTAAATTGATAATACTTTGACGAGTTACAAGTTAAATTAAGACCAAATTGGAAAGTAGTTGGTGAAATTGAGTTAGAACATAAAGTAAGTACCATATGAAATATAAATGTTAAGGTACTCAATTTTGTCAAATTTGTCGAGATGTTTGTTAGTTAAGTCTGATCTGATAGTTGAAGTTATCTTGTTAGGAGGATCGCCCATCAACTATGGAGAAGAGAGGAAAATGAACAGCCATGTTTTCAGTACCATTATCACTCCACTTTATTGCTTTACAAAAAATAATTTGGTGTTAAACAAATATTACAGTTTTGTTTTTTTTTTTTAAATTGTAATAATATTCAAAAAATACTTATAAAAAACTTGCAAATAAAATAAAGTAGTGATTGGACACGAAATGTTCATATCTATTACAAATTTCTTGAAGCGAATTAAGGACTAGCTCATTAGAGTCCATTTTCTTCCTTACATGGCTGGCTGGTACTTTCGGGTGAATACAAACTAGGTACCCAATTGTTTTGATATTCATCGTAAACATCATATCTTTTCTCATCTATTATCCTAAAACTACAAGTATTCTTACATCTATTTCTAGGAAATGGACAGAAAACCCCTTGAGGTCCCCATTCCACAACGTTCACGTGAATGTTGTTGTTATGTTTTTGTACGAAACACTTCAAGATTGTTGGATCAACAACTTTGAACATATAGCTTATACTCTGTTGAGGTGCCAATATGTTCACAAACTCATCCGGACCGCACGATACGAAGTACTCGGATTGACCCATGTTGGTTATCTCTATGGGTTCCCACACAAACTCTGTTTTCAGAGGCGCCGTGTCCGGGGGTGCGGAGTCCGAAAGCGTGGTGGCACTGATTCCTGGTGATGAGGCCATGAGGAGAAAGAAGAAGATGAAGAGGGGTACAAAACCGGTGTCCATGGGTGATGGATGTGGGAAGGTGGTAGGCAATTTGACCGTTCATTTGTTTTGGTTTTTATAGATTAAGCCATTAAGGGAAGTTAACTACTGCTTTTAATTGAGCATTAGTGGGAAATGAATGTAATTTTTTAGGGTACATGGAAAGAAAACGCTCTGGGATTATGTAATTGAAGGATGCATCGAAAGAAAAGGCTTTGGGATTTTATACAAAGTTCTCTCACAACAAGAAGCTTTTTTTTATTATTTTTTTGTTAGTCTCAATCGAGTTGTGTTGTGTTATGTTGAGGGCTTGCTATGTATTTTTTTTTAAATTAGTGTCAAGTTCTTTTTAATAAGAATAATATCTAATTTTAAAATTATAAACTACAAAGTTAATACAATAAAAATCATATGTTCTTATAACACCCATCAAATGTGATGGTGTTAATTAAGTGGGTTGAGCAGAATGTGAGAATTACACAAACCAGCCTGGAGTGTTTCAAAGTTGGGATGGCTTGCACAGTGAAAGTATAGTGGTTCACCGAGTTCGGGAGCTCGGCTAATCCACTCTCAAATGGAGTCTCTTGCCCCCTGGATCTTTATTGATAGCTGTTATAAATTACAAAGTGATTCTGATACAATCAGGATTCCTTCTCCTTGATGGAGGCATTGGCCAGTATTTATAATTCGATTCCCATCTCTAAGGGATCTGCAGAGAGCTCCCTGCCCTTCATCAGCGGGGTTTCACTTGATTTTGGGAGAGGATCTTGGACAGTTGCGAGTTTTGTTCCTTAATCACTGCCCTCTGTTGTTTTGGAGATGCCTCTTGTCAGCTAGTTGTCCCCTTCACATTTCCTTTACTCTTTCATACGAAGGGAGCTTGAGGTCTGGGCCTTTGAGCTCCGGGTTCTTTAATAGACCTCCTTGTCTGACCTCACTCCCCGAGCTCGTACTTAGTTAAAATCATTTTCATGTATCATCAGTTGCCCCCCAGCTCTTGGTTCAAGCGGACTTGAGCAAGGGTTGAACTGAGGCTGAGGTAAGGTAGACCTCCACTTGGTGGCCTCAATATGCATGCGAACAGGTTTTTGACAGTTACAGGTAATCATTTTCTCCTTCGTTTTTCGCGCACGTTCTCCACTTTGAAGTCCCACGTACCGTTAGCTTTAAATGTCTTCGGATTGATGGGAAATGGCTCTCATTTCACTCTTTGAATTCTCCCTCTTGGTTTTTCCCTCTTCCTTGTATCCCTTGCTTCCTCAATCTACTGGTGATCTTAGGGTTTCGCAGAAGATCGATTCTCCCTGATTCGACTTGAGGTTTCAACAGAATCCACTCTTCGTCTTTGTCTTGAGCTTTGGCCCATCATTTATCCTTACCTAGGTACGCTTCTTGTCCTATGTTCATCTCTTCGTTCTGGATCTCTCGAATCTGAGGAGATTTCTATATTTTTGGACTTTTCGATTATGTTATTTTAGGAACCGAGATCGCTCCTTATCTCGTATTCTCCTCTTTTTGGATCCTTATTCTATTGCTAGTATCTTTATCATCGGTCGCTGGTGTCTTGACCCCTTAACCCTCAGAGAGTGTTTCTCAGATATTCCTCCTCTTTAAAAGTCTTTTAAACTTCCTTATTCTTGCCCAGTTATGTCTGCTTCTTCCAAAACCACAGGCTCGTCTATCTCCCTCATGGGAGATAGGTTTCCCGAAGCAGATGATTATAATTTAGGAGATGTGGAAGAGGAGATTGATAGCTTTTCTGGTGTCAATTTTGCCGACATTGAGGAAAATGTTGAGGCGCCTCCCTCTTCGTCCTCCCCAATGCCTAAAAACCCTAAAGGTAAAGCCAAAGTGAGCGGCGTAGGGATCTCTGGCAGTAGTGAGGGTGCAGGGGAGATTTCCAGAGCTACAAAGCTAGTGGGCTTCAGCTATGTCACTCATTATATGAAGGTTATGGCTGCTCGCTTTGGTTTTCCCCTAAGTGTACAGTACTGGTGCCCCGATATGTATACCCGATATAACTCTTCAGTCTCTAAGAAAACCTACTTTTCATAGCCGCCTTTGAGAATGGACTCTGCTTTCAAATTCATCCCTTCATTAAGAGTGTTCTGCAACATTTTAATGTCTGCCCTGCTCAGCTTTCTCCTAACTTCTGGGGCATACTGGTGGATCTTCTCGTATTCTTCAAGAAACATCAGCTAAGGGTTCCCTCTGTTCCTTTGCTTATAAAGTTTTTCAATGTTAAGTATACCCCCTCTGACGATTTTTTGTACATGTCCAAATGAGTGAAAACTAAGGTTATCATCTCTTACCTCCCGAGCTTCCACAAGGGCTGGAAAAAACTTTTCTTTTCTGTAGGGAGCAGAGCATGGGAATACAATTCTACAGATCTTACAGACACTTCCAGTTCCTAGGGATTGGTTTGCTCCTGACAACCTGGATAAATTTTTGCCTGAACAATATGAGGATCAATTTTGACGCCCTACCTTGCTTACTTTGTTTTGCTTGCTTTGCCTTACCTTTTAGGTATCCAACCTAAACTCAGCGCTGTTGATAAGTAATTTTTATTGAGCTTGGCGGATTGCAATTTGGAGAAATATTCAGAGCTCATCAAGCCTTAGGTTCTAGTAAAGCTTGGATTCAGTCTTCCTAAAATGAGGATCGAGACCCCTATTCCCATCTCTATTGCCAGCGCCGAGGGGGTATCAGGTAATGCTTTCTCTGCCCGTTCATGGCTTTCAGCTCTCCCTCCTCGTTTTTTTTTTACTGGCTCATTATATGTTTCCAGGTTCCCTTCAATGAAGCCTACTCAAGAAGCACTCCAAGCCAAGGTTGCTCTTCTAAAGAAAAACAAGAACAAAAGCAAGCACAGAGTTAAGGTTGGCTCAAGTAGCGACCTTGTTCCTCAAGCCAAGGTGCCAAGGTTGGGGTTGCCCCCTGTTTCTCCAGCTTCTACTCAAGTGTCTTACTCCTCCATCAAGCTTTCTGCTAGCTATGGAGATCTCTTCTCTTCAAGAGACCCAGCCTACCATTAGGAAGATTTCTGAGCAGGATCCAACCTCTCCTTCTTTTGCTGAGGTCGAGAGGGCTTTGGAGACAATCTCTCTCATTCAACCCGTTCTTACCTCTTCTAGGCCATCAGAGAAATTTTAACAACCTTCTCAAATGAGCTCCAAGGCTGAGAAAGGGAAATACATCAAGGAAGAGAAAGATGATGGTTCTTTCTTCGACAACATTGAGCTCGCTGCCGGTGCCATTGACTCCATCATTCCTTCTACCGATGTTCGGAGGGCTACAGTTATGCCCCTCAAAAATTCCATTAGCTCAACACTTCATGGGGCTGCTACTGATCCCTTCCTCTTTAAGTCTCACTTCCACCTTAGGTCTCCATTTTATGCTTACTTTCATCTCTAGTTGCATTTGTTTTCAGTTGGCCATACATGTGAAGGGTTTGTTGAGTCGAATTCAAGATCTGGATAGCTCTTCCAAAGCATCGAAGGAGTTCGAGCTCAAAACCATCGAACTAGCTTTCGCTAATAATGACCTCCAAACTCAACTTTCAGATCTTCAGGCGTAGGTGGAAAGGCAATCATCTACTATCAAAGATTTGGAAGCGAACGAGGAGAGGATTAAGGAAGACCTTAGGCTTAAGATTGACGTCTGGGCTAAGGCCAGCCAGAAGATGTTTGAGGCTCTAGGCTCTTATTATAGAAATATGAAAAAAGAGTATGACCTCTTGGCTGAAATGAGTGACATTCTCTGAAATGAGCTTGAGGTGCAGAGAGTCACTGTCAAAGAGAAAGATTATATGATTGCCAAGCTGATGGATAACGTCACCACCAAATGGGCCACCGGATGACTTGCCTTCCAAAAATGAGTTGAGAAAGTGTATCTCGGGCTGAACTTTGACTTTGAGATCCCAGCTCAGGTGGAAGCAGAGACGTCTAATGCAGAGGGTGAGAGTGGTGCCTTGGCCCCTCTTGCTTCTGAGCTAACTCCTGCCGGAGCTATGACACCTATCCAGCCTGTTGAGGTCCTGACTCAAGATATTCCTCCTTCTTCTTTCATTTCTGCAAATCTTCCTTCTAAGGCTACTTCTGCTATTTTGTCTACTAAGCTCCATGTAGTTCCTTCTATCGTCCCTTCGCCTACTTCTTTCTCTACTGAACTGGTGAATAGAGCTCTAAATTCGCCAACAACCGTAGCTGAGATTCCTGCTCTTGGGTTCCCTGAGGCTTATCCTCTCTTGCCTACTTCGAGACCTTTGGAAACTTCAGCTGCTGAGCTTCCAAGCTCTTCTCCTACCTTTACTGCTACGATTCCAGCCACTGAATAGTTGGACTCTTCAGCTCAGACTTAGGGTTTTTTTTTTGAACTTTTGTTGGAAAACGTACATGCTTTTAAGTTACTGATGTAAACACCCACTGTTTTTGAGTTATTAGGCATACTACTTTACTTTGCTTTATATTCCCCTTTGCCCCCTTGCTTCGAGGGGTCCTTCAAATCCTCTTAGAGCAAATGGGCGGAGATTTTGAAAAGCTAATGATATATTAAACTGAGGTCCTACACAAGGTGGGCTTGGTTCTTGTTGAAGTAATCTTGCCAAGAGCTTTTAAAGAGCTGTAGAGCCAAATAGGCTATTAGAATTCTGAGGTTTTACCCTTGGAGAGCTTTTTCCTACTGGTTACTGCCCTTGACCTCCTTCATAGTGACAAGAAGTTCGTTGGAAAGAGTTCTCTACTTTTAAAAACAGGGTCAATTCTCAAAAACACGGCCGAAGTCTCAAAAAATTGTCATTTACTTGTGAAGCCGAGGTGACTGTGTCAGGCATACAGGTCATTCCCTGTAATCTAGTTTGAAAATAGCTAAGATACCTTTACTAGGGTCTGCCATTAGTTTTGGTGCATGGGTTCCATCAAAACTTTCATACAGCAAAATTTGTCTGAATCTACTTTTAGCTTGGCATTGGATGTGAAAATATCCTTTAATCAGCAAGGATTCTTTTGTTTCTGTGCTAAGGTCACCAAGAGGATCAATTTCCACACTAGTTACCTTTAATGTTTGAATCCCTTCTGGTAGTCG